TAACACTGTGATTCACAGAATTATAAAATATATATTTCCAACACTTAGATTACACTGTCGAGAAGAGATAAATAGATAACAACTTGTCGCACGAAGATATGATAGACATGTACGCTAGAGCAGGGCTCTTATAATGGAAGTTAATGTATTAATGGACGTAGTACTATAATATATTTAGGAGAGGAGATGTATGTTCGACAACATCGAGAACCGACAAATAGTTTGCGTGAAGTATGCGACTCTCGCGTTATGTGTAGACTGCCGCGTTAGGCGTTAGTTTTAGACTGACTGTCGCTCTTTTTCTAATACGGACGAAAAGTTCGGTATGGGTGTGCCCCTGTGCCTAAAGAACGCGGATTCGTTGTTCCCACTTTCGTTAGAAAAAGTTCGGATTCTCCTAATAGGCGCATACCCGCTTTCTCCGTGTTTTAAGTGCGCCTAATAAACCCACGGACCTCTCTAAAAACCGACTGTGTTTCGAGAATATTTTTAAGCTTTAGAAATTCTTCAAGACAAACGGCTTGAAGACACATGGCGATACAGGGCTATTCGATATTTCCTAATGGGAGCATACCCGCTTTCTCCTTGTTTTGAGTGCGTCTAATAAACCCAAGGACCTCTCCAAAACCGACTGTGTTTCGAGAATATTTTTAAGCTTTAGAAATTCTTCAAGACAAACGGATTGAAGACACATGGCGAAACAATACAGGGAAGTGAAAGTTATGGTGGGTCCTTAGGTTTATTGAATGACGTTACGCAGGCCGGTTGCTGTCCGGTCGCGCGGGCTGGCGTGCAGATGTTTTAGGCGGCGTAACACCTACAGTCATCTCGACCCTCAATAAACTCAAGGACCCACCATAAAACGTTAACTTTTACCTTCATTGTTTCCACATGTTTGCCAGTCAAACTGTCTGTCCGGAAGGAATTTACTTATTTATAATACTTACGTACAAATTATACTTATCTATAATAAGTAATAACTTATTATAAATAATTAACCATGTTACTGCGCCACACCAGAAAAACTACTGAAAATTCTCAACGCGAGAATTGATTGTAATTTTAATAAATATTAAAAAAAAAACTGTTTGTCCGGAAGGAATTTACCATTCGGTATTCGGAAAAGTCCTTGAGTTTATTAGGCTCTTAAAAATCACGGAGAAAGCGGGTAGTCACCGAATGGGAAAACCGAACACATGTTTACCGAAAAAGACTGGTTTTCCCCAGGAACGAAGTCACCCCCCGATCCACGTTGGTGGGAGACTTCCTCATATCCATTTTCATTAGCATGGATCATAACCAAACAGCATCGCGGATCGTTACCCTCACTTCCTTGACGAGAAGTATGATCAACGAATCCGCGTTCTTCGTTCAAAGCGCACGCCCACACCAAGCTTTCCTTCGGAAAAACAAGAGTGAATCGGACAGTCTATCAACGCAAGCAGTTCAAGATCCTCAAGGCAGTCTATCAACTCAAGTCAGACCATCAACTCAAGGCAGTCTCTCAACTCAAGTCAGTCTGTCAACTCAAGGTAGTCTATCAACTCAAGTCAGGCAGTTTATCAACTCAAGTCAGTTAGTCTCGATCAAGCATCTTATCAAGCAGTCAACAAGTCGAATACAGTCAGTCGACACAGTCTATCCGAGCAGTCCTTTTTCTTCACGAGTAACATAGGGCTCGCGAACGGTGAGTTCCTAGGCCTTACAATTTTTGCTCTAATCAACTCGTCTATTCTCTCACGCACTATCCTCCGCTCTTCTTCGCTAAGTCTGTAAGGACTTCTTTGCACGGTGACATTAGGATCGATTAACCGTATTTCTAACTAAGCCCGTGCTTACGCGAGTACATGAGAAGCCCGTAATGAACGAATCTTTGAATTTTTCGAGAACAGAAATTAACGGACTTTTATCGTTACCAATCACATCAGTGTCAGCCGCATTAATATCGGTCTCGCCTTCGGGGGTTTTACTACAGGCGTTAACTATCTTTGTTTTACAAATATCGACACTATTTCGTGTAATATATACGTCAAAACCCTGGCTTAAAATCTCGCGACCAATCATGATATCATAATTCAAGTAACTATCGGCAAGAACATGGAAAGTTGTCTCCAATGTAAAACCGTTAATGCATACAGTGGATAAGATCTGGGATGTACTCTTAACACAGGTGTTTCCTATTCCTCGCATTACTACTATATCAGTCGTCCTCTTACCGGAGAATTTCGAGGCGGCAGACTCTTTAATTAATGAGCATTCGGTTCCGGAATCGAAGTAAGATGGGAACGACTCACCCAGATGACTTAGGTTACCAGCTGGGGACTCCACCGCGCAGGAGTTGTCTAGACAGACGTTCATTCTTGGTACCGACTTTTGTGTCCTGTCGTAGCGGGCAGTCAGGTGCGATATGGCCCTCCGCCTGACACTTGAAGCAAACCACCTGGGACGATGCGGTCGGTCGGCTTCCTTCCTGGCGTTGTGTACCCTTCTGCTGTTGGCTACGTATCCTCTTCCTACACTCCGCGAGTTTATGTCCTTGTTTACCACAGTAAAGGCACCACGGGTGGCGGGCCGATAAGTTGCGTCGTTTGGCCTTAGGTTCTCCCGATGGATTATTTGACGAAGGTACTGGCCTCTTCCTCGCGCGAGAGAAGACTCGCATTTCCTTATGAAATTGATCTCGGGTCCGAATATCGTCCGTGAGTGCTATCCTTTCGACACGCTGGTCATGCCAAATCAGTCGCAGTAAGACGGCGGCGTTGATTATTTCGACGCTGGTTAGATTTTCCCATTTCGCTGACAGAAGGGAGTGGAGACGATTACCAAAAGCAGCCGTGGTTTCGTCCTCCAGTGGTGATTCGTTGAGCATCCTAATTAGCGCAGAGGTTGCCGTCACCGTGCAACCATAATGAGCAAGAAAATGTTCCTTAAATTTTGTCCAAGTAAGACCGTTGACCGGGACTTGCCTAAGCCACCCTGCCGCAGTACCCGCTAAAGCACGACTTATAGCAATATATAACTCGTAGTCTTGTAGGGACACTTAATCGCACTAGCAGTCGCACACTACGCAGCTGGATCGGCGCTCGCGTTTCCGGGGTTAAAACGTGGTAGCGCTAGATTTACAAGTTCCGCACTCGGTCTTTGCTCCTTCTGCTGAGTCAACCGGTCCACGATTTTCGTGAGCTGTTTCATGGTTATACATGGGCTTGATCCCACTTCTGATGTCGGGGTGTCGTTGAGGATAGGGTTATTGGTGTTTGATGAATCTTCATTGAAATTAGCCATCGTTGCGGTATAACAAAGGTACGGTTTATTGACACAAGTATGGATAACACAGATTCGACAATCTACCACGGCGGTTAGGCGCTCGCGACACTAGTGACAATGGTCCCAGGTTCGATAACGAATCCGCGATAGATGGACGTTCTCGCAAAATCTAAGTCTGACTCTTTGTTGGTAAAACGTGAAAGTAATTACTGATCGTAAAGACGTTACTCTTGCGACGGGATCGCAAGAAGGAAATGAATTTCCGTTCCGATGATGCCATAGAGGAAAACCATAATGAGGTGTGTCTAAGGACACGAGATCATCGGATTCGTCGAGGATAATCTTCGTTCAGAAAGTGAGAGAAATTGGCGTTGCTGCTAATTGGTCAATCTCCATATCGGTGGTTAGAAAAAGATGCTAGCCGCCCTCGAGGGAAAGTTGCTAGTGCGAGACGCCGCTTGTTGAGAAAATAGATCTCTCCTACCTTCCCGTAGTTGGGACAAAGACTGTTTGTCTGCTTGAAAGACTTTGGTTAACTAAATCTTGAGATTTATAACGGGCCTTCGGGCTAGCTGAACATGTACTGCGGAGACGCATCGACATCTGGCAATCATCTTACTCGAAGAATAGGGTCTGCGTGTGGCGAGCCACGGGACAGAAACCGTCGGAATGTTTACTGCCGCGTGCCGCTACAAATATTTCTTTTAAGGAGAGCTATACAATTACTCCATGCCTTTGTTAGACAAAGCGTTCATCCCGTGACCGCGGCTGCGTTCGGCGACTGGCTGTCGCCTCGAGCCCAAGCTCATTATCACAGCTCTCGAACAATTACAATCGGATTGAATAACTACAATTGTTTAATTACAGCTATAGTAGATTTTAGATAACAATGTTGCGGGATTATCCAAAGGCTCTGGTGTCCTTTCATCTCCGACATATATAATAATCTGTTAGTAGCAGCGTTATCTTCAATTTAATTACCCTTATTATCCCACGAGAAATAAGGGATCGAACAATTCGTGGCGTCGATTAGTCAATCGTAACGGGAATTTACGACTTCCGTTGGCGCGCTTCTTCGAGATCGCATCTTCCCGCAAAAGTGCGAAAACAATATTTACTGCTTGAATAGCTCTTTCAACTTTTCACATTTTTTAATTGAAGTCTTTCATGTAGAAGAAATATTTTTAAATTACAATGGAAGCACCATTGATATAACGCAATTATTTGCTTCGTGCAAAACGGAACCATTACTGAAGAATTATGTTTCTCTTCGTAAAGATTACCTGTAGAGTTGGTTGAAAAGTAATAAATAAAAAAATTTCACCCATAACGAATTTTGTACATTATTTTCAAAGTTTCTCCACTTAATATTTGTTATTCCATGGCAAATATTGGGTCAGAAAGTGTGAAGATTCTGAAACATGGATGCAATTACTAAAGAAACAAATTAAAATAGAATCAATAAAGGACTGAGTAAGACGAGTTCTCTCGAGGAATTCTACGCCGGTAGTGTGATCCTTGTGACTGGAGCAACCAGTTTCGTTGGAAAAGGACTCCTGGAAAAACTTATCCGCATGCGTCCACGCATCGCTGCCATTTTTCTACTATTTCTGTATCGAATCAGGAAATGGTTCTTCCAAGGAGACACCAACTATACTTGGCCACACTATCGCAACTGACAGATTTGCTCTGCCAAGATGTTACCGAATGTGTATGTGTTTGGATAAGTTTTTAAAATATTTTTTCCTGTTTCGTTGATCGACGTTTTGTCGAATTTGTCACACATATCGATCACCTCTGAAGGTTCCGAGCTCATGCTGCAAAATCAAGAATTAGTGAACATATCCTTCACGCTATAATTGCAAATACAATACTCGTAAACCATGGAACAACGTTTGCATGTAACTTATCCTTACGTATAAACTTTTTCCCCGATCTCATGTAGATTCGCATTACTATAAGCTGTGCTAATGTCACGTAAAGTAAAAAAGGAAATCGAAGATGAAAAGAAAAATAAAATATAAAAAAAATAAAAATAGAATTTATTTTTTAACACTTGGTTTACACTAATTACGAGTTGCTTCTAAAATCCAGTCGTGACTTTCCAAGACTGAAGCTCTTACAATTTGACTTTTGATCGGATCTATTTATTTTTCCTTTGTCACCCCTCAATATTCTCACTATCGGCGTCCGCGACCGTTGCCAAGCACGCCTTCTTCTCGAACATTCGGCGGAAGGATCGTTGGGATATTGATGGCGCATTAGGCACTTCGGCGACATACATTGTCGCCATGTGCCGCCACATCTTTACTCTGTCATCAGACCATCGGATTGGAAGTGTGCCGGTCGTGACACTAAGGTGGATAAAGCTAATTGGATGCTTCAGTTCGTTCCAAAGTTAGATGACTCAAGAAGTACCTTTCGCATTCACATTAACAGCCACGTGCAACGGATCCTTGAATCTCACAGTGGCAGCGACGTCAAAGACTTTGCTTTCTTTTTCCAACAGCAAGTTTCTATGTTCCTGTGAAAGGCCCAAATCCAGCAGACTCACGTCACTTTTCACGGGATAAACTCTGACAAGAACTGAAGGATACTTTGCTTTCATGACATCGTAAATCTAAGTGTATTTTCGACCAATCGGGGGGGGGGGCCAATCGCGAGAAGAAGCATTAACGGGAGTCGTAAATTCCCGTTACGATTATAGCAGTTGACACCACGAATTGATCGATCCCCTGATTTCGGTTAAGATAATAGGGGTGATTCAGTTAGTATAACACTGTAATTCACAGAATTATAAATTATATATTTCCAACACATAAATTACACTGTTGGGTAGGTATAAATCGTAGATAACAACTTGTCGCACGAAGGTAAGATAGATATGCACAATAGAGCAAGGCTCTTATAGTTAAATTTAGTATGTTAGTGGACGTAGCACTGTAGGATACTTAATAGAGGAGGTGAATATTCAACAATACCGAGAGCCGACTTAGATAGTTGACGTGAATTACGCTCCTCTAGGGTTATGCTTAGACTTAGACGTAGGCGTTAGGTTTTGTACTCAGTAATTGACTTTTCTAGCGGCGTAGAACGATGAGTGTGTCTAGCGCACAGGACCATCGGATTTGTTCATGACATTTTTGGTTAGGAAAGTGAGGGCATTATACATTGCTTCTGACTGGATAAATGTAGATTGGTGGACTAGGAAGCCCTCGATGCAAAGTTGCTAGTGGGAAGCATCGTACGTGAGAAAAACTAACTTTCCCGTGTCAAGCTGTAGAAAATAATTTGGCAAAATGATGGGTCTGAAGGACCTTAGCTAGGAAAGTACTGGGATTTATGATGGGTCCTTAAGACTATTGATGGTACGCAGCAAGGATAAGCGGACATCTGGTGTTCGTCTGGCCCGCAGTGGTAGGCCTGGTCTAAGTAGAGGGTCGCCCAACGTAACACTGAGCACGACAAGCTACAATCTGAATTCCAGAAAAGGAAGTAAAGTTAATCAATTTGGCTCCTGGCAAGCTTAAATATTGAAAGAAGCAAAAATAATATTACGAACAGGATTATCTATGACTAGATTAAAAATACTTCTCAGCTTCGCAATGACTACTGTTTTTCTGAACATGATATTAACTCTCGACCCATTCTTTATTTAAATGCAAAAGCTGACTGACTCTCGACTGATCTTTACTGACTGACTTTAACTGACTCTCACAAAATTTCAACTAATTAACTGACTTATCTGAGTAGCTCTTATCTCTAAGTGGCCACCTTTATTTATACTAAGACTATGGAATAATTGTCACGTGACGGTCACAGGGTTTTGGTACGTAATTACTTCTGCGGATGCTGCAATCTTTGTTTCTGCAGGTGTTCTAGAAATATTAGGGTTTCAGCTGATGTCGCTTTTGTGGAAATATTATTTAAATTTCCGTTTTTTACTAGTTTTTACTAGTCCTTGCATTCTTCCTGCAGTATTAGTTTCTGCTGATGATAAGTCGCTCTCTGGTTCACATATGCGCGGTTAGCTTGCTGATGCCGATACTTGATCCTTTGGCGCGTGCTAGTTGTTTATCTCTGTTGATGCTGTGTGACAAGGTCGTAGCATCTCATCACCCATTATCTGCTTATTATACAGTGTATTGTGGTGGGGATAGCGCGTGTGTCACTTAAGAGACACAAGAAATTGCAAAATTAACACATCACCGATGATCTCCACGTGTCGCAGTTCGAACGTTTCACAAGTAAGGTAAAAACTTTGAGCTTTAGATATGGTAGTAAAATTTATTGTACGAATCCAACAGAGTGACGGTTCAGAGTGTTATAACAAAAAAGATGTCGAGTGCTGATTTGGAGGGTTCGTATATGTTACGCAACGAGGCTTACTATAGGCCGCACTACATTGTCGCAGACAAATCGTCTTATATGACCGACGAAAAAATATACAATGTAGCGACAAGTGCATAGTTGTCATCAAGATTGATTTTTGAGTTAAAGATCTCAGCTTATCGCGGGTTTTTACTAATATTTGCGGAACGTTACGACCCTTTTTTCTCTGTGTTTCCTATATCTCGGAAACTAAAGTCGAGCGATGTATTTATAAGAATATGTTTTTCATGATAAGTTATACAACATATTTAAAATTTATCGAAATCGAATGCTTAGCCTCGTTTACGCATAACTACCTTTGATGTATGTATTATGTAACAAAATCAGAATTTAATCTCATTGCAAGAAAATTGTTGATTTAGTACAGATGTCTTGAAAGAATATTACGAAACTTCTACATTATAAATATTATATTACGTCTAACGTCATCTACATGATATATGTATGTGCATATTAATGATGTATATATGCATATAAGTTTTTTTATCACTAACATTTAGATGTTAATGAGAAAATGATACATAAAGATGTCTGGAACTGAATAATTTATCCTTTATTTGCGAATACATTTTAGTACAAACCTACATCGTTTGTAACATAATTATTATGCAGTATGTAGTAAAGTTGGCCGGGCCCGTCGGGAGGATAGGCCCGCTTGTGGAAGGATATCGCTGGGGTCTTAGCCCCGAGACTAATGCGTCTGTTCAACGCCTGTCTCGGGGCAAATTCGCCGCTTCGTGGAATGAGGGGCAGATGGTCCTGCTACCGAGGCAGGGGCACTCTTCGGACACGTCTTCCACCTTCCGGCCGGTGTGCCTTTTGGGCGAGGCTGGCAAGCTGCTGGAGAGAGTGTTGGCTGCCCGCCTAGAGTCGCATTTATCCCGGAGTGTTCCCGGAATGCACGACGGCCAGTTCGGCTTCCAGTTCTACGACCGACGCTGTCGCCCGTGTCCGCTCCCTTGCCGAGAGGGCCGGGCGGCGTGGTTACATAGCGTTGGCCATGTCGCTGGAAGTGGTCACCACCTTCAACAGCATCCCCTGGGACAGGATATGCCGGGCCCTCAAATTCCATCGGGTACCCGCATACCTGCGCGGTG